ATGACGTTACTTCAGCAGAGGATGCCGGTCCTCAGAAAGTAAGGTGATTTGCCAAGCTTGGTGGTACCCTCAGAGTTAGAAACTGTGCGTGTCTAGCTCCAGAGCCAACATTACCACTGTCTTGAAAGAGTAATGAACCCAGCTTCATGAAGGGGAGGAAACAGGGGTCACCATGACAGAAAGATGTGGTTGAGAAACCAGAAGTTAGGTAAACTTGCTAAAGTGGTTATGTTGAAGGGCCATGAAAGCTAGGCAGAGATGCTGGAAGGAAGCCTGTGGTTGCCAAAGAGCCTCTGAAGGTTTAGGGGACAGGAGTCATCAAACGATACCTTGAGCAAAGGTCAAAGCTGAAAACAGCTCCGGGTTCTAAACAAGAGAAGCTGCTGAAAGTGACATCGTGCCATGGGACGGAGGACGGAGGGTGGCACTTAGAAGCAGAGCCCGCCATGCTAGTCGGGGCGTGGCGGGGACACCTTTAATCGCAGCACTCCGAGGCAGAGGCAGATGACCTCTGTGATCTACGTAGAGAGGTCCAAGCCAGCCAGAGCTACACGCTGAGGTCCTGTGGTATGTTGAAGTACTACACAGCTACATCAGACAGCTTATGGAGTCTCCCTCCGGAGTCCATTCTCATTTCATCCACAAATCAAATCGGATGCAATGGAAATTCATCTCCACCGTGATCTCTGCAGCCTCATTACTTAGTGTGACGTGTGACCCATCACCACCCAGCAGTGACGTGTTACCGAGTCCTAGCAGCGGAGTGGATGTGTTGGGGACAGCCTAAGCAACAATACCAGAGCAGCAAAGGGACAGACATGTTGTGAAGAAGGGAGAGTGGGAGGGAGAGAGGAAGGGACAGAGGCAGGGAAGGAAGAGGGAAGGAGAGGTCTTTCAGGTCCCACTAAGAGTATCAGAACTGTATTTAAGTAACAACCTTGTGTGGTCTGTGAGGTCTTCTCTAAAGTGCCTTTCAATCTAGATGCTAGTGTTTCACACTGAGCACAATTCTGTAACTCTACAGAGAGACAGGGTGAAGGCTGGGGTGACAGACAGGATGACACAGTTGACCTAGTCACCTAATGCACCCCCTTTCTAATCCTAACAGTCTGTCTGGCTTGCTCACTAGGAAATTCAAGTGGGGATGCTGCCACCTTGTGACCGTGAGTGGTAAAACATACTTGGCCATTCTCATTAGAAGGGTGAGGTGCCAGGAAGAGGGGGCACCGGGTCACGGATGCAGGGGGTGAATCTCAACCACTTATATTAACTGCACGCGAGTGTCAGACCACGTCGCAGAGAACTGTCACACTTAAGATGAACCCTAATTTTTTTTTCTTTGTTACATTTTTTTCCGTCATGTGGGGTGCACAGTGCACCTGTGGAGGTCTGAGGACACCTTGAAGAGTAGGCTCAGGCTCTCTTCTTTCAGTATGGTGAGACCAGAGATCACACTCAGGCCCATAGGTTTAGTGATGACACTGTCACTGAAGAGCCACCGTGCTGACCACGAAAGAAGTTTTTGTGATCCTGAACAACTTGGTGGTGTCTTCGGAAAACCTAGTCCCCACCAAGTGCTAACAGTGCAGCTCTTAAAACTTACATCAGGACAGTTGTTTTCAGACATCTGGCCCTGCCTGAAGTCCGGGAAATAAATGTAGGATGTCCCTGGTAGCTTGCACTCTGTGGTGCTGTTTCACCTCGTGCTCTCTCTCCACTCCTGGCCCTGGTCCCGGTAAGCACTGGAACTAGCCAGTACCTGAGATCACCCACCACGAGCCCCTCCCTCTCTTTCCTGCACTTTCCTGTAAATTTAAGCCAGAGGTTCTTAGTTTGTGTGTTGAAACCCCTTGGGAGGAGGGGAGATCAGATGACTCTTTCACAGGGGTCACCTAAGACCATCCTGCATATCAGATATTCACGTTATGATTCGTAACAGCAGAGTTACAGTTACGGAGTAGCGATGAAATAATTTTATGGTTGAGGGTCAACACGACATGAGGAACTGGGTCATTAGGAAGTTGAGAACCACTAGTTTAAGCTATGATGTGTGATTTGTCAAAAAAAAATAAAAAGATCCATAAAAAGAGGCACGGGGCTGGCCACAGCACAGGCGGAAAACGCAGAGGATGTGGATTCCACGCAGCGGATGTGGATTCCACGCAGCGGATGTG